CGCCTCGCCACGCCACCACGCAGCAACTCCCCCCCCCCCCCCCCCCCCCCCCCCCCCTTCCTCCCAGTACGCTGGCTGGCACTGTCATGCCGTGTGGTCTACCGTCAGCGTTTTCAGCAGCCGGCCTTTTTCACTCCTCACCACCTGGCGCCACCCCCGGCTGCGAGACCCCCCCCGTCCACCTGCCCTTGCCACACGTTTCCGCTCGTCCACACCCTCCCCCCCCTCCCCTCCCCCCTCCCCGCTCATCCCAACCCTTCTCGCGTCCCATTTTACTTCTCACACATCATGGTCAAGCGGAGACCGCTGCCACCCGCCCCGGAGAATGACGGTGAGGGAGGCGAGCGTGCGCGTGAAGCAGGGCCCGAGCCAGAACACACGCCGCCCGACGTGCTGACCACGGCAACCAGCCCCGAGACAGCCACCGCTGACACTGACAACCCCGAGCAAACTGCCCCTGATGCTGCCAACCCCGAAAGGGCCTTGCCCGGCTTGGAGCTGCCGCAGGTGAGGAGCGCACGGGCATACTCGTCGCTGGCAGAGCGAATGCCCGAAGAGGAGCAGGCGGCGGTCATTCTCCAGCGGTATGGCCGAATGTGGGCGGCCAAGGCGCGGACGCGAAGTTTGCGCAAGCGGACCCCATTGCGCGCGAGATTCTGGAAACCGAGCGCGGCTACGTCGAGTCGATGCACATTCTCATCGAAGTCTATCTGCAGCCGCTGCGGTTTTCGTGCGAGACGTCGCCATCGCCAGTGCTCTCGCGGTCGCAGATTGCCACGGTCTTCTCCAACATCGAGCTCATTACTAACGTCAACGCCGAGCTGGCCGAGGCGCTCGAGGCGCGGCTTCGCAACTGGTGCTCGGCGTACACCTGCATCGGCGACGTAATCCTCCGCATTGCCCCGTTCCTCCGCATGTACACTGCGTATGCCGAAAACTACGACCGGGCCGTAGTGACCGTCTCGGCCGCCGCCAAGGAGTCGTCCAAGTTTCTCCGCCTCTTGCAGACGGCGCAGGCCCACCCAGACTCGCGGTCGCTCACGCTCACGGCGCTTCTGTTGATGCCGATCCAGCGTATTCCGCGGTACATCCTTCTCCTCACCGACCTCATCAAGTACACCCCACGGTCGCATCCAGACTACTCGGACCTCTGCGACGCACTGGACCTCATCTCGGCCATCGCCGACCGGGTCGACAACTCGATTGTCATTGCAGAGCAACTCTCTAAGGTGGTCACCATCCAGAACCAGCTCATCTCCAACCCGCCGCTCCTGGTTGTCCCACCCGCAAGTTTGTCAAGGAGGGCGTGCTCCGCAAGAACAAGGAGAACCGCATGTTTTTCCTCTTCAATGACATCCTCGTCTACGCCCAGCGCTCAGGCTCGCTCTTCAAGTACAAGGGTACCATCGACCTCGGCACGTCGTGGATCAATGACATCGACAGCGCGACAGCAGCCAAACACTCGCTCCGCGCCCCGTTCCAGATCGTCTCGCTCGACAAGACCCGGACCGTCGACGCTGAGTCGCCGGCGGACAAAGCCGCCTGGGTCTCGGCCATCGAGTCGCAAATCAACGCGCTCACCGCCGCTGACCCTTCGCTTATTGAGCGACGGGCGCCGGCGGCCAAAGCCATTGTCTCGTCCAAGCTCAAGGCCATGCTGCGGAAAAAGTCGTCATCGAACGCAGCTGCCTCGCCATCGACACCGTCGGCCGAGCAGAGTGGGCCGGCACCACCGGCGTCACCAACCTCGCCACGGATGCCAGGCGGAAACGGACAGTCCAAATCGCCGCAGCACGCCTCTGCCCGCAAGCTCCTTCGCAAGATCCGCCTCGCCGAGGTCAAGCGGTCCGGCCCGCTTCACTCGGGTCGGCTCCGCAAGGCCGGCGTCAAGTACAACAAGGCGTATCGGACCCGGACGTTTTTCGTCGCTGAGGGCTTTGTCTTTTACTTCAAAAGTCGCGGTCGGACGCCTTGCCCGCAGGCATCATCCCCCTTCATGGCTACACCGCTATCCGTTGCTCCATGGTCAAGTCGAACTGGCTGTTTGAGCTCTTCCAGCTCGGCACGAGAACGTACTCGCTCTCGGCCAAGTCGGAGGCCGAGATGAACACGTGGCTCAAGCTCATTTCGCTAGCGGCCGTCCCGCCGGTCCGCGGCGTTCCCAGCCCGCCGCCCATCTCACCAACCGGCCTCGAGCTTGTAGTCTCACTGCTCACCTACACCGAGTCGGAGCCGGTGGTCCACCAGGCAGCCTCTCTCCTCGCCGCGTGGGCCACCGTTCCACTCGCGGATGAGCACAAGGCGACGCTCTCCTCGCTCGAGCTCTTCATCCTGGAGCCGGTCGTCGAGTCGCTCTACTCGCACCTTCCCGACGTTGTTGTTGCCGCCGCATCTGCCCTCTGCCACATGTCTGCGCTTCCTGCCACCGCCGACCTTCTTGTTGACGCCTCCAAGTGCAACGCGCTCCTCTACCTCACTGACTTGCTGACGTACTCGGCAGTTCAGGAGGCCGCCGCATGGGCGCTTGTCCACCTCACCTGTCTCGACTTTGCCAACGCTGCCGATGAGGAGGCGCTGGCGGCGGCTGGCGGGTCGTCGCGGCTCTCTGCTACTGTCGAGCTCCCGTACCGAACCCGGGTGTACACCGGTGCCGGCGCGGTCCAGCCGCTGCTCATCCTCGCACAGGCGAATCCAATCCCAGGCGTCCGCCTCACGGCGCTTCGTCAGCTGGCCCGCATCGCCGCCAAGCCCTTCCACCGCAAGGCCTTCCTCGCGCTCGAGCTGCCGGTTGTTGCCTGGCTGGAGGAGTTTATGCGGAGTACCGAGGTGGAGGTTGTCGAGCTTGCGGTTGTCATTCTCGGCTTTCTCGGCCTCAACGACAAGTTCCGGCCGCGGCTCTTTTACTCGCGGCTGGTAGCATCGCTCGTTGGCTTTCTCTCGCTCTCGTCGAGCCGGATGGTGGCCAAGGCGCTGTTTGCAGCCAAGTCGATTGCGCTCTCGACAGACGGACTCGCTCTCCTGCTTGATGAGCTGTATGTGGCGCGGCTGCTGAACCTGGCGACCGCAGCGTCGCCTCTCATTCTTCGCGAGTTGGCGATGATCTCGCTCCGGACCCTGTCGGCTTTCAATGTTGGGAGGGCGGCGGCGTTGGATGCTGGCATTCTCCCCGAGCTGGTTTCCATTGTGGCTGCTGGTGAGCACGCTATTGTGCGTGCCCATCACGAGCTCGAGTCATCGCGGATCCGGACCGGACGCCCGCAGCTCGACGCCTACATGGGCGCCGACATTCCGGGAACGGCGGCAGCGATGGCAACGACTTCGCACCTGTCGTCGGCGTACGCCAGCGGCGAGGACATGCGGTTGCTGAGCGACTCTGCGCTGGTGGATGCCGCGCTGCGCGACTCGGCGTCCAAGGTGGTGGCCCACGCTGTGTGGTGCATTGCCAACGTGTTTGCGCTCGACGCGCCTGACCTCATGATCGAGGCGCTGCGGTCGCTGGACGGCCTTGACGCGCTGCTCGCGCTCCTCACGCCCGAGCGGCTTGGCACTCAGCCGGAAATCATCCGCGGCGTGCTGGCGGCGCTCGGCAACATTGCGCCGTTTGCGGTTGTCGACGTCCTCGCCTCGCGCACCGCCCTCCGGGTCACCGTCGACGCGCTCAACGAGGACCTGTACGAGGCCGATTTGCAAGTCCAGGCCTCCACCTTTCTGCATGCGCTCGTCACCGCGCCGATGCTCGAGCACTCGATCATCTCGCAGGGCGCGGCGCATTCACTACTCCACACGCTCGGCGAGGTGTTGCTGGATGCAGCCAGGCTGTTTGAGGCGAGCTTTTTGCTCCTCGCCTCGCCGCGGGCGTCGACGTCGAAGCGAGTGCAGACCCGCTACAACTTGGTCATATCGATTGCCAAGCTCCTCTCGCTCTCATCGGCACTCTACTCTCTGGCGTGGAGTGAGAGGCTGGTCAAGGTGGCGTCGGCCATGGAGCCGCAAGCCGTCGCCCGCCTCGAGCGCAACCTTAACGAGCAGCTGCGGATGCGGACGTCGGACCGCGAGTTTGTGCTCGCTGTCTTTACCATTGTCGACACGATTGGATGGAACTCGGCCTTTGTGACCCACGACCCGCTGCGGCTCTTCTATGAGCAGCAGCTCGCGGATGAAGATGCGGTCGGGCGAAAGGGCTTCGGCACAGGTAGCAACGTGACTGCTCCGGCCGCACTTCTCGTGTCGACAGGAGTCACGACCAAGGCTGAGAGCGCTCGAAAGCGCAATTCGACACTTGCCGGTGTGCGGCGGTCGCGGCGTGTCACCATGTCCAACGGCGCGGCGCTCGACCAGGGCTACCTCGTCTCCGACGGCTTGGATTTGCCTGTTGAGCTGCAAGACGCGTCGTCCATGTCGCACCGTGAGCACTCGATCCTGTCGCGGCTCTCGGTACTGGACATGCCTGGCGACGACTTTGACGAGACCGGGTTCGACCTCGGCTCGGACTCTCTTGACGACGACGACAACAACGACGACGACGGCAAGTACAGACTCGAGGCTGGGGTCTCGGACTCGGACTCGGACTCGGACATGCCGCACGATCTTGACGGCTTTGTGCCGAATCCTTTCTTTACCGGAGTCTCGCAGGCGCTGGCGGCGACTGCATCCGACTGCGAGAGCTCGGGCGTCGAGCGCCGTAGCGTGACCGTGCCTGCACTGGCGCTCTCGCCGCAGGCCTCGCGGGCAGCCGAAGACGAGATGGTCGAGGATGCAGTGCCGAGCTCACCGCCGAGTGGTGCCCACGCGCCACCCGACATCGTGGTCGCTGTGGGAAACTCTCAAGTACGGCTCCCGAGCGTGCTGTCGACCAGCGCTGTCTCGTCGCCGCGGACGACGTCGGAGAATGAGGATCGCAAGGACTCGCGCGACATGTTCTCCAACATTGTGAGCGAAGCCGACCTTGTGGCGACGCTAGACGCTGAGAAGAATGCACGCCTCTCGCGCGCGTTGGCGTCGCGGGCCGCGATCTCGCCGCCGACTCCTACCGAAGGCGCCGTACCGGGCGAGGAAGACGCAAAGGACGACGAGGAGGCCGAAGTCGAGCCAGCAGCAAGCAGCGATGCTCCTGACGAGGATGCCGGTGGCAGCGCGCTCCACCGTGCCAGCAAGGTGGACATCCAGGCAGACGAAATCGCACCGATGTTTGACAGCGATGCGTTTGGGTTTTGAGGCAGCGGTTGTGGCCGTGTGACCGTCTCGCCAAGAGTAGACGTTTATGCTGGCATGGAGTGCGGCGGCACGGGCAGAGATAATAGCAACCAGCGGCTCGCGATCCAGGTCCTGGAACTTGCGTGTGAGCGAGACCGAGTCGAACTCTGCAATGATAAAGTCGAGAGCGACACGACGGAGCGGGGCGAGGCCGAACTTGGTGGCGCCTTCGTAGACCCAGGCGGCGTTGGCGACCGAGATGTTCTGGGCGAGGCGCATGGCGCAGATAAGGAGAAGATAGTTGAGCTGCAGCCACTGACAGAGCGGGACCAGCTCCATGGCCAGCTCGAGGGTGATTTCGGTCATCTCCATGTAAAGGAACTTGAGCGCCTTGCGGAATACAATCGGTCGGGTGTCGGTGACCGGGATGACCGCCCGGTGCTCAGGGTACTTGGCAAAGAGCTCGCGAAAGACTGGCGAGTGGTTGGCGAGGACAGCGCGGTGACCGTGGACAGTCTCGGAACCGACCGAGAAGAAGACGTCGGCATACTGCGGCGACATCAGCATCTGGCGCATGTACAGCTGGAGGCGGGTGAGCGGCGAATTTGGAACCGGCGGCTTGACCAGCATCATGACCTGGTCGGGGGCAACGACGCGGACTTGCGACGACTTGAAGCTGCGCTTTCCCACGGTCTTCTTGCGAGTTGCGTAGGCGGCCTGGACTTGCTGCGCCAACTGCGCCGCAAACATCTCCTCACGGGACGGTCCCTGCCCCGGCGGCGCTTGCCCGCTCGCCACGTTGGTGCCGAGCGGCGAGAGGACCGGAGCCGGTGGTGAGGTCGGCGGCACCGGCGGTGAGGTCGGTGGCGGCGGGCCGGATGCTGGCGGCGAGGTTGGCGGCGAGGTTGGCGGTGAGGTCGGCGGATCTGGGCCGAGGCCAGGCGGCATGCGCGGCGGCGAGAGGAGCGGCGAGGCCGGGCGCGGCGGCGACGACTGCAGCGGCGACGAGTGCCAAGCGTGGGTCTCGTACTGCATCGAGAGCGGCGGCGGGGTGGCGAGGGCGACACGGCGGCGATCAGCGGCATCGGTAGCGGCGGCGGCAGCGGCGGCGGCAGCCGACATCGACGACGGCGGGCCGGCAGCAGAGCGGGCAGCCCATGCAGGCACCGGCGTGGCGCGGACCGCCGCTCGCGGGTACGGCATGCTTGCAGACAGCGACGATGGTCCGGGATGATGGGCGTACGTCCCAGCGTGGTTCTCACTCTGCAGCGGGGCGTACGTCTCGCGGCCGCCGAGCTCGAAGCGGACATTGGCCAGGCAGTCGGCGCACTTGGCGCCCTTGCGGGCGACAGCAGCGCCGCACAGGGCGCACCCGTGGTGCTCCAGCCAGGGAGCAGCAGCCATAGTGGGGTGAGTGGGGAGGGGGGTAGGAGAGGGTGGGGGGTGGGTGGGTGGGGTGGTCTTGGGGGTGGCGCAGTGGCGGGGACTCGGTGGCAGCAGGTGGCGCCTGGCCAGCGGGTTGGGCCGGTGGCGGCTGGCGGCGTGTCGCACACACGCACACGCCACTCGGCCAATTGCTGGCGGTCCTTCAATTCGGACTAAGCCTTGCTGGTCTGCGGCGGTGTGTTTGCCATGATCGACATTCCGGGCATCTACATCGGAGCCAAGCCACTGCCGTGCAGAGGATGGAGCGGGAGGCGCGGGCGTGGTGACGGATATGCCGCCGTGCCGCTCGGCGACAGCTCGGACGTCGAGGCAAGCGAGGACGGTGGACCTGGTGTCGCATCTGCAAGTAGCGCATCTCCGGACGCATCGCTGGCGGGGTATGCTCCCAATCCCGAGATGGGCGCCGGCATTGTGTCGCGCATGTTCTTCACCTACGTCAATGCCATGCTCGCCACAGGCTACCTCCGCCCGCTCGGCCTCGCCGACATGTACCAGCTCATGCCCGTCGACGACCCGACAGTGGCGTTCCGCAAGCTTCGGCGCGGATGGCTCGCCCGCGGTTCCGAGTCGGTTATCTGGGCACTTGCCCGCGGCTGGGGCTGGCTTCATCTGGTCAACTGGATCTTCCTTGCCATCGCCACCGCCGCAGAGCTCGCTGGCCCGCTCTTCATCCACGCCATCCTCCGCTGCCTGGCGTCGTCGGCAACGTGCGGCTCGAGCGTGTGGATCTACGTGGTGGCGCTCTCGGCTACGCAAATCCTCCGAGTCTTGGCCAACGCTCGCTTCAGCTACTTTATGAAGCGCTACTGCACCGCAGCAAAGTCGGCGCTCCAGGTCGACGTCTTTGACTCGCTGCTCGGGCTGACCGCCGCCGGCTGCGACGAGCTCGGCAAGGGCAAGATCATCAATCTTGTCGGCGTCGACGCCGGCACCATCCGCGAGTCGCTCTCGTCGGTTCACCTTGCGGTCATCACGCCTGTTCAGCTCGCGCTTGGCTTCTATCTTTTGTTCTCGTTCCTGGGCGTCTCGGTCCTTGCCGGCCTTGCCTCGCTCGTTGCCCTCCTCCCACTCAACCTCATGCTTGCCCGCGGGCTGAAGCAGGTCGAGAAACGGGTCATGGTCGCCAAGGACGCTCGCAACAAGGCCATCGCCGACATGCTCGGCGGCATCAGAGTCGTCAAGCTCCTCGGGTGGGAGACCTTCTTCTCGCGCAAGATCGGCGCGCTCCGCGCCACCGAGCAGGCAGCCATTCAGAGACGCGGCGTCCTCCTCGGCCTCGGTCGACTGCTCAACGCCATCATTCCATCGCTGGTCTCGGGTGTCACCTTTGCTGTCTACGTCGCCCGCGGCAACGTCATGACGCCGGCCGCCACCTTTGCCTCACTCTCGCTCTTCTCCATCCTGCAGGGCCCACTTGACTCGGTTGCCCGCGAGCTCCTCGCCGCGTACGCGACAGGCAAGGTTGCTGCTAGCCGGCTCTCGAACTTTGCCGGCGCCCCACAGCGCCACCTTCCGCCACTGGCAGCCGATCCGCTCGCGCCACGGGAACAGCCGCTGGCCCTCTGCGGTACCTACGCCTGGGCGTCGGACGATCCTTCGCCAGTCCTGTACGACCTCGACCTTGTCTTTCCGCCCAACTCGCTCACCCTGCTCATGGGCCCGGTTGGCTGTGGCAAGTCGGCCATTTTGCTGGCGCTGCTTGGTGAGCTTGAAGTCCTCTCGCCGGGATCGCCGCAGTTTCCGGCCGGCTCACCGCGTCCAGCCATCGCGTACGCTCCGCAACGGCCGTGGCTCCTCTCGGCCTCGCTCCGCGCCAACATTGTTCTCGACGCCGAGTTTGACGCTCCGCGCTACGCGGCGGCGCTCACTGCTGCCGGCCTTGAACACGACCTCACCCTCTTGCCGGCAGGCGATGCGACTGAGATCGGCGAGAAGGGTGTCAACATCTCTGGTGGCCAGAAGCAGCGGGTGGCGCTGGCTCGGGTTCTCTACTCGCGGGCGCCGATTGTTCTCCTCGACGATCCGCTGTCTGCAGTCGACCCGGAGCAAGCCGCCACCATCTTTGAAGCCGCCATCCGGCCGCTCGCCGAGCGCGCTGTAGTCGTCGTCGCCACCCACTCTCTTGCGTTTGAGCAAATCCCCGGCCTACGGATCTACCATGTCGCGGCTGGCCGTGCCGAGTTGGCCTCGCCACGGACGCTTGCTGCGCAAGAGTCAAGCAACGAGCCTGCGGCTCTACCGGCTGGCACTCTTCCCGACGACAACCGAGAGCGCGCGCCCCACGACGCTGCCGCCGTCGCGGCCGGCGCCAAGCTCAAGGTCAAGGAAGACCGGGCATCGGGCTCGGTTGTTGCCAAAGACTACCTGCAGTACGCGCGCGCGCTCGGGTGGACGGCTGTCGGCACTATCGCGCTTGGGCTGGTCGCCATGGAGGCGCTCGACGTGGGACGCAACATGTGGCTCTCCAAGTGGACCCATGCCGCCAGCGAGCGCGGTGGCGCAGACAACAGCAAGTACCTTGGCGGCTACTTTGGCCTGATTGTGGCGTCGGGAGTAGCCACGGCACTCACCGCTACCCTCGTCTTCACCGCTTCGGCTGTTGCTGGCACCAAGTACCACGCTGCGGCGCTGGTGGGTGTGACGGCGTCGCCGCTGACGTTCTTTGACGCCACGCCGCTCGGACGGATCCTCAACCGGTTTTCCAAGGATGTGGCTGACATGGACTCGGGCGTCTTGCCTGTGCTTGTGAGGGTCATCATGACGCTGCTCAAGGCCGGCGCGGTGGTCTGCGTCATCGGCGCGGCCACACCGTGGTTCTTGCTCGCCGTCCCGTTCATTGCGCTGACCTACTACCCAGTCTCGGTCGTATATCAACGATCAAAGCGCGAGCTCCAGCGGACCGGTTCGATCGTCACCTCGCCGCTCATCGCCCACGTTGCTGGCGTTATCGAAGGTCTAGCCTCAGTCCGGGCTTATGGCCTTGAGGAAAGCTTTGCGGACAAGCACACCCGAAACGTCGAGGCGACGGCACGGGTGTGGAACGGTAAGGTCAACACCAACCGGTGGCTCCTGCTCCGGCTCTCGCTCCTCGGCGGCGGCGTGGTCTCGCTCTCGGGCTGCCTCGCGGTCTCGGCGGCGTCGCAGGGCACGATCACGGCCGCGACCGCCGGCCTGGCTCTGCTATATGCCTCGCAGCTGACCGGTGCGCTCATCCAGCTGTGCGCAGCGGTGACGAGGGTCGAGGTGCGGATGAACGCGGTCGAGCGGCTCGGTCATTACTTTGATCTACCGAGCGAGGCTCGCGCCGTGGGTGGGCCGCAGAACGGGACAGCTGCGGCGCGATGGCGTGTTGTAGACGGTGCCATCTCGTTCGACAACGTAGCGTTGCGATACCGCGACTCGCTCCCCTTGTTCTCCGTGACGTCTCATTCGAAGTGCCAGCGCGGGCCAAGGTTGGAATTTGCGGTGCCTCGGGTGCCGGCAAGTCGTCGCTCCTAGCGGCGCTGTTCCAAACCGTCCCGCTCGCAGGGGGCTCGATTCGCATCGACGGCGATGACATTCGCGAGGTGGGCTTGGTTGCGCTTCGGCGGAGCCTGGCCATCATTCCGCAGGACGCGCAACTGTTTCTCGGTACACTTGCGTTCAACATGGATCCGACGGGCACGACTCGTCCCGAGGCGATGTGGCAGGCGCTTGAGGCGGTCGGCATGGCCGAGGTTCTCCGCGATAAGGCCTACGAGCTCGACGCTGATGCCGACCCGCTTGACCTTGAGCTGAAGAACAATCTGTCGTGCGGCGAGGCACAGCTTGTGTGCATGGCGCGGGCGCTGGTCCGCGATGCCCGGATCATTGTCATCGACGAGGGCACCGCATCGGTAGATGCCGAGTCGGACGCGCGGATTCAGCACGTCATTCGCACGGCCTTTGCCGACCGCACGGTGCTCACCATCGCGCATCGGCTGGCAACACTCGCAGACTACGACCGGCTCCTGGTCATGGTGGACGGCGAAGTTGCCGAGTACGACACGCCAGCAGCACTGCTGGCGGCGGAAGACTCGATCTATGGCCGACTCGTGGCCGCACAGACATAGGCGCACGCGCGCGGGCAGCGAGTCAGGCGACCATCATGCGCTCGACGCCGGCGGGATCAACAAGCAAGTGCTCAACAACACGTCCGCGGCCGCGGTCGAGCACGAGCCAGCCCGACGGGAGAATGACGACCGGGATCCAGCCGGTCCGGGTCCTTTTTCCGAGCCAGGCTCCCGGATCCGGAGCGTCTGGGTTGTCCGGCTGCTTGGCGGCAAAGGCGTACTCGAGGCCGCAGGCAAGGCGGCCGTGCAGGAACGGAAACGACGGCAAGCCGTCGCGCGGATGGACGATGACGACCTCGGCCACAGCAGCACCGCGATTGTCGGGCGCGTTGGTGTCGGAAAATGACATGTCGCCCAGAATGTACTCGACGCCGTTGGCGCGAACAAGGGTGGGCGAGTCGGAGAACGGCTTGTGGCCCGAGACGACCCGAGCGATGCCCGAGTCGCGGAGCGCCAGCGCCACGTCGGCCGGCGGCTCGTTCGGCACGCCTCGAGTGAGCGACGGGTGGATGGCGACGGAGCGGCCGTGGACGGCACGGGTGTAAAAGTAGGAGAAGAGCTGTGCGCCGCCGCGCTGATTGCGGTCGAGGTCGAGGTAGCCGGGCGAGGCAACAAAGGCGGCGAGTGCGCGGAGCTGCCAGGCGCGGAGGGCAGCGACCCACTCGTGGATCGAGGCCGAAGGAGGCAGGGTGGTGCCGACGGCAGCGCGGGTCACCCCATCAAAGGCGTCGTCGGCTGGGACAAAGCCTAGCGCACGCCGCGAGACGCCGCCGTGGACAAAGAGCGAGTCGTGGACGAGAGCAGCGAGCTCGGAGAGGACCACGTACTTGAGCGCCTCGCCGCCGCCAGAGGCGACGATGTCGTGTGGACGGACACAGACATGTCCCTCACGCGGAACCACTACCGTCTCCTGCGACGCTGGATGCCGTGGATCGGCGGCAGCGAGGAACGAGTCGACGACCTCGTCGTCCGAGACGTCGTCAGGCGAGGAACGGCCGGCGAGGAGGGCGAGTTCGGCCTTGCGGGCCTCGAACATGGCGGCAGCACCCATGGTGCAGTGCAAATGGTAGCGGAGGCGGGCTGACCGCGAGTCTGGCAGCGCCCGCGACGCCATAAACTGCGCTGGCGTGACGTAGCTCGAGAGGCCCGACCACCAGTACGGGCCCGGCAGGGTGTGCACCGACTGTGAGAGCTCCGGGCCAGTGAGATGCGCGACTAGCTTGAGCTTGTTGGCGTCGCGGTTGCCGAGAATGAGGTGAACGTGTTGCGGATAGCGGATCTTAAAGTCGACCAGCAGGCGGGCAAGGCGCAGATCACCATCGCCCTTGTCGAACACGTCGCCGCCGTAGACAAAGTGGAGATCAGGGGATGCGTCGGGAGAGCCAACGGGATCGCTCGGCTTGCGCCACTGCAGCCGCTCATGGCCATCGGGACCGACTTCCAGCATCACCACCAGTGAGCGCGCGGCGTAGTCCTGGAACAGCGCGAGCTTGCCCTCGACGTCGGTGACGTAGCCGACGAGGGCGGCGGCGGTCGTCCCGCCAGCGGCCGCCAGCGCCTGGGTAGCCAGCGGGCGGCCTGCGGGCGGCGGCGGGGCGGCAAAGGCCGTAGCGGCCGGCGGGCAGACGGCTGCAGCGAGCCAGGACAGTCCGTATGGCATGGAAGGAGAGTGAGAAGAGAGGTTGGGGGGTCGCTCAAAGGGCATCGCTGCAGAAGGCCGCAGCGGATGGTGTCAGTCGCCGGGTCGACGGGAGCGGGCGAGCGAGGCTGACGACTGTAGCGGGCTGGCGGCGGTTGGAAGCAGGCTTCTGAAAGCGTGGGCGGAGGTGGGATCTCTGTGGTTGGGCTTTACTGCTGGGCACAAGAGACACCCGGGGCGCCGCCGTAGGCCTCATCGTCCTCGTCGTAAGCGTTGTTGCCGTGAGCGTGCGAGGAGCGGCCTGTGTGGGCGTGGGACGACGGATCGTAGTTGTGCAAGTGGACCTCCTCGACGTCGTCAGGGGAAAAGGCCGGGAGCTTCGGCCGCGGCGGGAGGACAGACTCGAGAACGCGGGCATTCTCGGGGGTAAAGGTGCCTGCGGGCGGGAAGGCGACGGTGAACTTGACAAAGAGGCGGCCGCGGGTAAAGGGCGAGCCGTGGCGCGGCATGCCCTCGTTGCGGATGCACTTGACGTCGCCAGGCTTGATGATCTCACCAGGCTCCGAGGTGACGAGCAGGACGCGGCCGTCGAGGTGGGTGACAAGGAACTGGTAGCCGCAGAGAGCCTCGACCAGGGTCAGCTCCTTGTCGACGTACAGGTCGTCGCCGTCGCGGGTAAAGATCGGGTGATCCTCCTGCTGCAGGACAATGACGACGTCGCCAGGCAGGTGGTTCGGGGCCTGGTCGGCCTCGCCGCGGAACACGATATTCTCGCCGGTGGCCATGCCCGGGTCGATTTCGACGCGGAGGACCTTCTTCTTGACCACGACCTTATCGCCGGAGCAGCCGGTGCAGCGGTCGCCGGGGCGGATGAACTCGCCGGTGCCGCGGCAGTCGCGGCACTTGGACTGCAGCTGCTGGACCATGCCCGGGCCAACCTGGCGAAGCTGGATCTGGATGCCTTGCCCGTTGCAGGCGGTGCAGCGGCGGACCTCGGATCCGCCCTTGCCGTCGCAAGTCTCGCACAGCTCGTTCTTCTTGACGGCGATCTTCTTGACCTTGCCGTTGTACAGCTCCTCGAGCTTGACGCCCATGCGGTGCTTCATGTCCTCGGTCTTGGGCGGACCGCGGCGGCGACCGCCGCGGCCAAAGAACCCGCCGCCAAACATCTGCTCAAAGATGTCTGCGGCGCCAAAGCCGCCCATGCCGCCGCCGCCGCCGCCCATGCCACCCTCGAGGCCCTCCATGCCATACCGGTCGTAGATCTCCTTCTTCTGCGGGTCTGAGAGCACATCAAACGCCGCAGAAATCTCCTTGAACTTCTCTGCGCCGTCCGGGTTCTTGTCCGGATGGTGCTTCAGCGCGAGCTTCCGGTACGCCTTCTTGATCTCCTTGTCCGACGCCGAAGGTGAGACGCCTGCGCCCGCCACCACCGCCATCACACACACACGCACACACAACCATCCAACATCCTCACCATGTGAGTCTCCCCCATCCTTGCATCCCTCCTCCTGCTCCCCTCTCCCCCTCGGCTTGTCCCCTTCCCCTCCATCCCCGTCTCCCTCCCTCCGCCGTCGTCACTCTCGTGAAAGTGGATGGGCCTTCTTGAAGACACCGACCGAAAGGACATGGGCGGGGGGCCGGGGGGGGGGAGGGCGGGGGGGAGGGGGGGGACAGCCATGGACCATGGACTCGTTCAGCACGTGTGCGTACCAAGCACGTCGTAGAGGGCAGTGTCAGCAACCGACATGGTTGTCTGATGAGAGAGAGGTGGAAGGGGTAGAGATGCGAGGGGAGGGGGGAGGAAGGGAGTGTGGCTGCTGGCGCCATGATCATGCCATGATGTCGGAGGGGAGGGGGGGAGGGGGAGGGGGGGGGGGGGGA